ACAGAGGTGAAGTTTTGGAAGAAGAGAGAGGTGTGAGGAAAGATCGTAGCATGTCTAGGAAGAGGGAAGGAAAGACTTGTGACTAGTGAGGAACAAAAGAGGAAGAGTGCGGATTGCAACATGCTTTCTGATGTAATCACCTATTGTCTCTGCCAAGAGAAGTAAAATCAATTCAGATGAAGAAACTAAGATGTTAATCTAGGCTGTTGGCAGAATGAGATGAAGCAGGACAGAACAAGTGTGTAGTGGAGAGTCCAGTTACAAGACTGTTTCTCCTAACACGTGCAATAGACTTGTAGCACTGGAAGGAAAGGAGAGAAAAAAAGGATCTGGGAAGCAAGTTTGTATAATACTTTAAAAGGGAAGAAGACCTACTAATACTACATGCATCTTACAAACATTAAGACTTTTGAAACATTCACCTGAGTACAGTGTTCAGTTACTGATTTCCTGTGACATAAGCATTAGTGACTGGATTAGTTACCTTCTCTCAATATATCATTTCAACTTCGAGTTGTATTTACAAATAAATAAACTTAAGTAAGGAACCTGCTGTATTTTTGTATTTATTCCACTGTTCAGCATATACTTTGAAATTTTTCAATACATTTTTGAATAAATCTTCTGTGTCCTGACTGTTAACTCTGTAATACAATTCATGAAATGTCTGACATCTGAAGCTCATGGGGGAGAGGCAGGAAGTTGCTTGGAGGTCACCATGTGTTTCTGTGTTTCCACTTGGGAAATGCATGGCTGTAACTGTGGGAGTCATTAAATTGTTAATTAAAAACTTCATAGCTATGTTGCATCCTTTTTTAAAGATAAAATGTGAAATTTTTTATTCATCTAAAGCTATGCACATGCAGATTTTAAAAATAGAATAAATGGCCCTGTTTCTCTAGTTAATTACCTCAACACCCCAGGAGTGGGCTGCTGGTATTTCAAAATCCTGTGGTGTGGTAGAGAGAGTAAGGGAGAGAGCAGTTTTCTGGAGTGGTCTGTTGTTGGCCTATAACAGTATATAATGCTGTTGGGTCAAAAGGCTGGTACTGATACTCGTGATACCACCATGGCTATAACATCAGACATTTACTGCAATAAAACTAAATACTGCAATAAAACTAAATGTTTGTGTTACCATTACCAAAAAATTGCAACACCACTCAATTTTTTGTATGGTGAAATTACTCTCTGTTTGCATGTATGCCTATATGTGTTCATATATAGAAATAAGTATGCTTATATACACGTAGTTTGTGTTCATAAATACATGTATACACATGCATATGCATTCTGAATGAATTGTGCTTGCTTCTTGAAAATGGCTAATATTCTCTGGAAGGCGAAATGGAGAAGGAGTGATTTTATCGATACTGGTCGATCTCACAAGTGAAGATCAATTTTGCAATGAACAGTGTAGGCATACACTGTAGAAAGGCTGTTCCTCTATCTATCTAAGACAGGAGACAACAGATGGGGGTAGGCAGACAGGAGAGCATGGTGAGGAAACTGGACAAGACTCACCAATAGCCTTACACATTTTCTGTGCCAATGCAGTGTGCATGTGGTCTGCAGTGGTGAAGTGGCGGTCAGGATTCCAGAAGGTATTTGACTGAGGATGAGCTGAAAGTGAAAGCAGGTGGGCAATATTTGGACTAAGGGTATATTGCAGGAGATGAGAGCAGAGACTTCCCAGATCTGAAGAGAAGTTTGTTTTGAGAAGAAAGTTAACAACGGGTGAGCAAAGGAGCTGAATGGTGGTGACAGATCCACAGAGGCACTCCAAGAGGGATGGGCAGCCAGGGTGGAAGTATGCAGAGGATTATGAGGAGGAGAAAAAAGTTTGCAGATGAGTGGGCCAGGAGAACTGACGTAAAAAAACAAATGTGGGAAAAGACATGACAAAATTAGAGAAATGTAGGGGAGTCATCCTCTCTTCACTACCTAAGTGAGCAACTCTAACCTATCTGTATCGTTAATAAAGACTAGTATTTCCAAAAAGCCTTTTTACTCCTTTTCTCTCTAGTGATTAGAGAACTTAAAAGATGTCTGGCTTAACTAAGATACCAAACTTTTGGACAGCTCAGCTACATGAAAGGAAGGGCCTATTTTCACTACCTTTTTGTTCTAATGAACATCCTGCATTATTTAGCATTCATACAGTTTTATAGGAAATAATATTTGATTTTTACCTTTTTTTTTTTACGCTTCTGAAATTATATACTACATACTCAAAATACAGTTTCTGCACACGAAATTTGCAATATCTTTGCATCTGACATTCTCCTCTCTTTCCTTGTTACCAGGGATTTTTAAATGTGATAACATCTCACCATGTTTCTGAGATTTCCTGAATTTATTTGTTTACTCTTTATTACATAAGGAATGATTTCTGCCTCTTTGAATGTATTTCTGTGGGGAGTGCTGACATTCTTATCCACACTTCACTTGTCATTTCTATGCCAAACGGTTAATATGATTTCCTACTATGAGCTACTTACTGTGTACAGTTTTAACGTGTTTTGCAGTGAGGCAGTATATTAAAGTGCAGAAATCGCTTATGAAAGACATGGATATTAGGTGCGAGTTGTTGGGTTCTCTTAGGTAAAGTCAGTTAATGTGCAGCATAAATGTGTTCCTGGTAGTGGTACAAGGAAATACTGGTGAACTTCGTATTCTGATCCCATCCTTCTCACATGAATACAGGAAAAAGAAAGTGTTTATGCTTGTGGATGACACCAAAAGACAATAGTTATGAGGAAATACTGGAAGAAGCTGGGGTTGTTTAACCTAAAGAAGACTAAAGGAGAACATGACAAGTACCTTTAAATACATTAAGTGCTCCTGCAGAAGTGGAGGGAATAATTTATTCTCTTGTCCTTTGCAAGGAGAATGAGAAGTAGTGGGCTTGAGGTACAACATGGAAGGTAAAGGTCAGATGTGAGGAGGAACTTTCTGATAATAAGGCAAGATTGCTTGAGGAGACTGTAGAGACTCTGTTACTGAGTATCTTCAAGAACAGCATAGGCAAATATGAGGAAAGATATTGGTGCAAAACACCCTGCCTGGGATATGAGGCATGGAATAAATAACCTCTCATTACCCCTTTCTAGCCTATTTTTCTTTGATTAAAGCTGGATTAATGAAGGAAAAACCCTGGGCTGGGCAAGTGATCTCAAATGTAAAATGTGATAGAATAACCTTGGGCTTGGTCAGAGAAAGTGTTGAGTAGTTGTGGCTGCTCTCACTGAACTCACCCAGAGCAGAAATTAAGTGGGTTTTCAAGGATGGGGCCATAAGCACTGAATTTATATTAACTTTTAATATTGCTGAATTATTGTCACATTGGCCAGGTCTTGTCTTCACCGTCACTCCTATCCTGGCTGCAAATGAAACTTTACATTAGATTTTGTGTAGGACCTTTCTGGGAATTTTCAGCCTGTGATAAAACCTGAGCCAAAAGGGCTTTTTCAATGGGTTTCCATTTTAAAACTGTTCAGTTTTTTAGACAATGTCCCAAACAGTCACTACAAGTGGTGGTTGAATGCATGGATGTGTCTGTGAACACATAAGTTTGAAATGTGAAAGTTGGTATGTACAATGTCAGCCTACAATTGCTGAGATAATTCAGCCTAAAAAAATGCAAAGGAATAAGATTTCCTATAAAATATTTCAGAGCTACTGAATGAGTTGTTGAGTATTGGTATTTTTTGGATATTTGGGGATGACACAAATTAAATTACTGGAAGAGAGAAAAAAGAAGAGGCTCCTGTGATGAAAGGATTGCAAGACAAGTTAGAGATCTTAGCAACAAAAAGCTTGTATGCTTTTACAGGAAAAAAATGTCTTTTTATTAAAATTCCAGAAGTTCTTGACATGAAAAACTTTCAACAAAAGGATTGCATTTTTGTGTGGGGAAAAAAAAAATCGCTGTAAAAATTCCCTTTTTGGTTGGGTTTGGTTTCATCAGCATTTCTCCCAGCTTGTCTCACATTACCACTAGATACTGTCTTTGCTGTACTGCTCTTTTTGGGAGCACAGATGAACTCTTCTCTCCTTGGAGTGATCAGAAGTGTATCTGCTACTTTTTCCTGAGTCTTCTTCCTTTTCTTTTATGAGTGATCTTTATTCGAATGAAAAAGAGGTGGCTATCAGTACTGCAGCGTTAAATCACTTTACCTACATGAAAGTATAGGCTGTGACAGCATGAGGGGTTTTTTTTCCATCCCAGCACTTGTTTATTCTTCTTTGCTGAGTCAATCTGTATCTGCATGTCTCTGTCAGGACTTGGCCTGATGCATCCATTTACTTCTCCAAATAGTGATCAGGTAGGAGCAGCATCTAGTCCTTACCTCCGTAGGAGGTAAGCTGAGAATTCAAAGGTAGAAAAGACTGTATATCGCTAATGTCTTTTCGTTCTAACATCGGGCTGGTTCTGCAGGAAATACTTTTTCATCCCACATGTATTCAGTCTGGAAAATTCAGAGTTCCAGGAGGTCACCGAGGCATATAATCTAGACAGGGTGTTTATTGAAGGCATACATAATTTTATAAGTATCAAAAAATTGTTTTATGGACAAATATTTGGAAGATAATATTTTTTTCTGTCCTCATAGATACAAAACACCTAATGCTATGAGCAGGTCTGGTGGGAAAATTGTAACTGCTGAATTAAAATCAATAGGAACATAGACTCACTGGCTTTCTCCAGGTCTTAAGTTTCCTGTGTTCTCTCTCTCATAATACAAGAAGACACTTCAGACACCACGTTTCTGGGGATTACCTTTCCTAGGGTTGAAGCTTTTGGCCTCATTCTTTTCCTCACAGTTAGAGGGTTCATAAGCCCCTGGAAAGACACTGTCTGTCATGTCTTGTTGCTTAAATATTGTGATCAAGCCTGTGAATAATCTCAAACTGCTTTGACATGTTCTTAATAGCTTTTGTTCTACTTCCATACCAATCCATTTCCGTTCCTTAAAGTCCTCCAGCACAGTGTGTTCCAGTTTGGATGTGGTATGTGACGGTTTGACTGGAGATGCTATGGGAAAATCAGACCAATACCTTTAATTTTTATGGGTGGCAAAGATGGTTTGGAAAGTGAAAATGATCCCTCTGCAGTAAATGATATTGTTAGACCTCTTTCTCCCTGGCTTGTGGGTTTTTTTTACCCTTTAGTGAAAGTTGGGGAAGCGGTGAGGGGAAGTGGTCAGCTGAACCGGCAGTGCCCTGCAGAGTGGCATGTTCACGTAGAGCTTTTTCAGCTGTGCTGTGTGCAGTGAAGGCTGCATTAACACCAGATGCCAATCATACACCACCAGTGGATTTGCAAGATTATAGGACAGGAAAAAAGATGAAGGTTAAGCACAGGGCACAATACAGATTACTTATGGTAATGAATTGTATAATTTTTCTAGACAGATCTGGATTAATGTTTATCCCAGGCAAGAGATTACTGTATGTCTGATTCTAGTTGTAAACAGACATTATTAAACAGAAGGTTTATGTTCATGAAATGCGACTATGGGTGTTAAAGCACTTATGATTTGTTATGTGCAAAGAGAAAAATTAACCTGTTCATCTGCTATAGTATGAGATGCGCTGTGGATTTTTGCATAATTTGGAAGGCATCTGCTCCTTTGGAATACAAATAACCAGTGAAATGAGAAGGATTCTCCTCTCATTTACACTGATCCAATGTCCTACACTGCAGTGATGTTGAAATGGTGTAACCAGCAAAAGAATAGTCTTTTGTACTTTTATAAAGCAATAGTATTTCTATGAGAGATAATGTTGGCAAAGTCTGTTTGCTTGTGAACCTTCAGGGTATTTTCTTTATAATTTTTTTTTTTAAAACACGTTAATGTTCAGAGATCTTAAGAAATTACCTTCTATGGATTTCCCAAATAATTCCCTTTCACCAATTGAAAACATAACGTTTAGAGACCTTGAATTTTTTAAAAAATACATTTTTTATGTATTTTTCGCATAATTTATGTTGCAGCCCATTTTTCTCCTGCTCTGTTGCATCACTGCTGCTTAGCAAAAGTGATACATAGGTAAAACATCCACACTTTTTAATACTGCCTTACCTCAATAGCTAAATAATCACACCTGAGTCAGTGGCTTTTGTGTTTTGGGTGAGCTGAAAAATAACATCTTAAGGAAAATGTAAACAAACTCCAAAACTTTACTGCTGTGATGGAGCAGACATTGCAGCTTTATTACTTGCTAGCAAGGAAGCATCTTTTCACTGTGAAAGCAAAGAAAAATTACAGTTCTCAAAATCTGTTCATTCTATTTATGGGCTGTATTGTAGCCAGCTGATTTTTGCATAATGCCGTTTGAAATTATCCATTTAACAATGATGGGTGATACAACAGTGTTGCTTTTCTTCCACTTTGTAACTGATCTGTCTACTTATAGATTGCCTTGGACATGTTACTAATGCTTTAGTTGTAAAATTCACTCACATACATGAGAATTTTGGCCGTTGAGTCTTCCTGACTTCACATAGGTTTCTCAGATAAGTAAAGATATTCCTGTATATGTGTAAAAACAGCCCAATTTGTAGAAAACATAGGTACATGGAGCAAAAAGGCCTGAGAATATTAGGGGGTGTGTTAAGTGAATTAGAATTTAAGCAGTTAAATTAGTTCTGAATAAAACGTAATCTGGTAAGACATTCTGAATGCTTAAATTTAAAAGTTGCAATCTTAAATTGCCATCAAAACACTTCATATTGCTCATTTTTATTTCTTAGCTATGGTTTACATTTGGTACAACAATATATACTGTGTCATGAGAAAAATGTAACTTTAACATTTGTAATATTTTGCCTAATTATCAAATTTTACAGTGGCTGTGAAGTGTGAGTCCGGAGTTAAAGTTCATGAACAAATTAATTAACCAGTAAATGTTTCTGTGGGCTTTGTTAATGGTTCAGTGTAGCATCTGAAGCTGATAAGAACTTCTGGAGGTAGCCAGGATGCAGGTGAGCGTCCTTCAGGAAGCCAGGGTCAGCTGCGTTGTGCTGCTTAAAAGTTTGTGCAGCGAAGCATTGTACTTTGGGAGACACTAAAATATATGCAGCACTCTTTTCTTTGCTGTGTGATAGCAGACATCGATAAGTCATGGAGATGACCTCCATCTTCCAAAGAGAAGGAAAGCTAGAAATGAAGACACATTTCTGTTATCAGTCTGCTGTGGGTCACAAGTTGAACTGGTGTTATATTTTCCGATGAAAGCCATGTAGCTTTGACACAGTGTTTAACAGTGTTAAGCTTATTGCTGCTGAGCTAAACATGTCTGAAGCAAACGATGACCCTCATGTCTTTGTGATAGCAAAATGTCTTTCTGATGTGATCCCGCAGACTTGGAGCATTAAGTTAATTTTCCCCTGGATTTCTGAGCTGCCTTCTTTTTTACCCGGCGGAGAGCTTGTGAAGAATACAGCTTCTGACCGAATGACAGAACATTGAGGGTGAAATCAGGGTGAAATTAGTTGCATTCAATTAGAAGATGACAAAAAGCCTATCTAAATATTTGTCAGGATGCTACTTAGGGGGCGCAGTGTTCAACCTGGGAAGTGAAAGGCAGCCGCTCTCAGGACTTAGTAGTCTAGGGGGAAAAAAATGGGTAAATCGTCAAGATTCTTTACAGGCTTGGAGGGGATAATTGAGGGTATCGAGTGGGCTGTTATGCTTCCAGGGCTGATGATCCCTCTTGTGTAATCTCAGATTAGTTCTTTTCTTGTACTCACTTAATACAGATTAACCGTTACAAAGTTTTCTGAACCACTTTGAGTAAACAATATTATTTGACTGCTGGAGGATGGATAATGCAGTGGTTTATGGGAGGTATTGAAAAAAGAGGGACTCCACCTTCTCCACAATAAAAAAACACCACCACAAAACAAACATACAAACCCCCAAAGCCACAAAACCCAAAGATATGAAAAAGCCAGGGCAAACATGTCAGCTATGAGATTGTCGAGATTGGACCAGAAGGTTTACTGTTTTTCCAGAGGACAAAAGGATGTTCTTGAAAACTAACATTCAGACCTAGTAGTCCATTAACAGAAAGAGATCAAAATATGCAGCTTGGTTTGGCCATGTCTGTTTATCTGTAAATTAAATTTATAATAAGGGAGCAAATCTCTGGCTTGTAATTTCCTGCTCAGAAAGTTTTAATTAGGAAAATAAAAAATGTAAATACAGCCTATCAGTTTACCTTTTTTTTCATTTCTGTTACAGCAGTTCAAGGGAGAATGTGACTATGATAGGGTTAATCTAGCTACATAAAAATCCATGCTGTCTATGATAGTAGTAAAGCTTGTGATCCCTTGATCTTTGATTAGATCCAAGCTAGTAAATATCTTGTCTTTAATCAGAATGAGTTGAAGTCACCTTCACAGATGGGATATAGCAGCAGAGTTGTTCGCGAATATTTGTTTTAATCCTTCCCAGAGCAAGCACGCTTTATGTTTCTTTGTTGTAAATCAGATTCAAGCAACTAAAGATCAGCACGAAGGAAAGACATTTACTTGCAGTCAGGAGTAGGACAGTGTGGAAACCTTTTTTCCTTTTTAAATAAAAATGTAATTTATTAGATTCTTAAAAGGTATTTTATACTATTCCATAAACATAACTAACACACTGTGGCTACTTTTTTAGACTGGATGTAAATATCATTATCTAGAATTTCATCATCAACTGTTCATACACATTCCTAGCTTAGGAGAGTATAAGTATATGGAGACTAAGATTTATTATGATAAAATGTTTGGCCTCTATTATTATTATATATTTTAAAGATATTTAGAATGGTAGCTGGTCTGTGTGCTGTTAAACTAAAATTCTTAAAACAGTATCTATAAGGCTAGTTGTTTTGTGTGGTATGTCAGCGTCCCATTTACCTAAATCTGTCATAATCGCCTTCCAATACATCTTCCTTTGACACACCAAATATTGAAAATGAGAGGACTCTTTGCTGGGAGATTTTCTACCGAATGTCATTTTTCTGTGTTCGTAACTTGATGGTAATAACTGGACGACCTGTAGTTAAATGCATCTTGATTTCTCTCATTTATTTTTCCTGATCACCACACAGAGCCTTCTGTGCTCAGAGGTGTGATTAGATTTAACCTGCCATCATATCTGAAGAACTTTCTGTACAACATATTATACATTGCAATAATTATATATGTAGATGATGGGTCTAAGTGTAATATATAAATAGATATAAAGACAAATTACTCTCATGCCAAAGTTAATTCCTGATTTTTTTTTTTCTGTTTTTTTTCTGGTTTTAACAGGAAGACTGGAGAGCCCCCGCTAATAAATGGCTGGATTCCTTACCTTGGGAAGGCTTTGATTTTTAGAAAAGATGCTTTCAAATTCTTACTGGATCAGCAAAAGAAACTTGGAGATATTTTCACTGTACATATTGCTGGTGAGAAATATTTTAGTATTTCTCTTGATTTTTTCCATCAGTAAAGTTAAATACCAATTCAAATATTTAGTTTAGAATCTTCCCTAACCAAAAATATTTTTGTGTAGTATAGGCCCATAAAAATTACTTAAATTCACATGTATTATATGCAGAATAAGTATCCATAGGATATAATTATGAGCATATGGATTTATATAGAGCTATAGGTACATATGCATTTTGGCAGAATTTGTAGGCATGTAGTATATGAACATAGATTTTGCCAGCACATTTAATTGTAGATTTGGGTTTTTTGTCTAAAGAAGGGAGAACTAACATCATCTTGACACCGCACAGAAAAATATCAGATTATATTTAGAAAACACTTAAGAAAAAAAGTGTAGAATATGTTCTCACACATTTTACAACTGGTTGACAGGAACACAAGGGAATGAATGACACATTGACTCAGTGATACAATCAGGACTGGAACACAGAAACTTCCTATTGCCAGACTCTTACTCTGACCATGCTTGCTGAAAATAACAATATAATAAAGTATGATATAACCTTGCTGCTTTCTTTATTTATAGCTGTATTACTACTACACTAGCTCAAATACAAACATTTGAGTGAGTTCACGTAGACACTTAGCTGTAGAAGAAAAACGTAGAATGAAACTAGAATCTTAAATGAAACTTAAATATATGAATTTACAGAGGGAGAGAGAGAGAAATGTATATTTTACTAAAATCTATATAAAATCCAGTATTTTCCTCTGTTCAGAAAAAGACAAACTCTTACAGGTGGATGTAATGGATTTTTTGCCCCTTTGCATGCCGATACCCTTGTTCAAATGATCAACTTTAAAGTTAAGTCTATCTTGGTTTTAGCTATTCCTGTATTTTTAAAGAATTTCAAATAAAAATGTAAAGTGTAGAGTTTGCTTTGTAATTTCATGACAGTAGCATTGGCATTTTATTTCCGTATAAGTAATGTTTTGCAATAAAAGTAATTTTTTGCTTCAAAAGTCAATTAATTAAATTGGAAGCAGTATGTTTAATTAATTCTTTTCTTCTTCTGATTTTTCTTCCTCTTACCTAATATGTTCTTTTTTTTCCCGTTGGAAGAGCATTTTTACTGCTATTAAATGTGTGATTTTTATATTCATTCAGGGTTTTTTCTTTGGAAACTGGTATGCTTGGGGTTTTTTCCATCTTGAAAGTGAGTTTGACACATTACAAGACCAACTTTTGTTGAAAAGTAATCTTTTTATTGTTAAGGTACATTCACACTATATACAGTTGTGGCTTCTTACAAGTATGGGTTAATAATTATAATTCAGAGACTACTTTAGTGCATTCATAAAACCAGATACAGTCATACTTCAGAATCCTTAGTGTGTTTAATCAAATATTTATTTCTCTTTCACCTGTTTATTATTTTATGCAAGACTATCTTTAGAGAATTGTGGTTTTAAGCAATCTGTGAGTGTAATTTAGTTTCACAAATTTCTATTTGCATGCTAAACAAAATTTCATTTCAACTAATCTCCCTGTGTTCCAGTATTTTGAGGAAGCCTTCCTTGATAAAGACTGAGGTAAATGGAGTGATTTCTGGATATCATTTCAGCCTTATGCAGGGAAGTCTTTGATTTAGTGAATTTGTCATAACAGAAATAGCACTTTAAGTTCTCTTTTTTCGGTATGAAAATACTGACCATCAAGACTTCGCTAAGGAGAAACAGTTTGTCATCCATGAATCAAGGAAGAAGCCAAAGCTAGTTAGTACCTCCTGTTATGTCCTGATCCGAAGACATACAGGATTTCTCTATGTCTTACTGATTTGACAAAGATGATGTTTATAAGTTCGGCAAACATAGCATAGCCTGCTGTATATGGTCTATCATTACTTTACCCCCCTGGTGGATGTCTAAAGGTCCTGTCAAAAAATTCTATCAATATATATTGTTCTAATTATTGGTTCTCAAACTAGTTCATTTGGAAAATGCAGAACGATGCTAGGAGTTTCTGGCATTGCCCCGTACCGGTAATGCGATTTCGCTGACTCTACTTTCCCATGTGATGAGGAAATGATTGTCATCCCTAAAAGCTGCAAGGGACATGGATGTCATCTTAATAAAGAAATTAAAAAGCACATCTTTCTGTGAGAAACAATGTAAATTCCTGACCTGTCGCAGAAAATAGTTCTCTAATTGGTTTTGTGTGGTGGTGCAGCAGAATCATTTTCCCCAAACGTCATGCCAGCGAAGCACCACTGTACATCATTGTCAGCAGTTCAGCAGAATCTCCCTAATAAGGGGACGATTACGTAAATGCAATAGTCTTCACACACACAAAAAAAAAAGATAAAAGAATAAGGAGGGGGGAGAGAGAGTCTGTGGTGTTGAGGTGATCATACTTCCCAAGCCAACCTCTCTGCTCATTAAGGGTCAGCAGTGTAGGCAGACAGCTAAGTAAGAACTTAAAAGAGCTTGAAACAGTTTTGTCATTGTTTCTCGGGATTAAACTTTGTCTCCTTTTCCTGACACTTTGTTAGGAATGACACCAAACCTTACAACGCTCTCTCTGAGACTAACTCAACTTAGTAAAATAATCTTAGGGTTTTTTACTAAGCACACTTGCCTTTTCAAATACTGCTTCTAAGTCATTTTTCTCTCTTAGGCAAAAGGTAATTTACCTTAAGTCCTTACCAAGCTGAAGCCTGCTGCAAGCATTACCGAAATAACATCCATCATTAGATGCCATCTGAAATGCTTGTCTTTCATCATTAGCATTAAAAAGCTCCAGAATGCATTATTAGAATAATTTCTTAACTATCATACAAATACTGGCTTCTGTGTCAGATTTACCAAAGTTGACAATTTTCATATTTTCCACATCAATCTTCTATTTCTAGGAGACTGTAGAAACTAAATGGACATAACCAGGCTATTTACAGCACGGGTATAATGCAGACTGAAGGACTGGATAGGGAGGTATGAATTCTCTGTAGCCATATTTAAAAAAAAAAAAAAATCAGAGGACTTTTTACAGAAACAAGGATAAACTCTTATTTTGACTTGTTTCTGCGGTACTAAGTAAAATAGCTCAGTGACTTAAACTATTGGGATTTGGAGTGTGACATTTCTGCATGGACATGTCTACTTAGTTTTTTGTGTTGAAGGATTTTTTTGCAATCTAACAAGGAAAGGCTGATCTCCAGTGGTTTCTATATAGATACCTTCAATATTTAAGGCTTACTGATTTGTGGAGCATGTGATATGCCTCCAACTTTTGGCTGATCTGGCATTTACCTTCACCAGTACTCTGATGGAAACTCATGAGCATAAAGATTTTGGGTTGGTTTCAGAAAAGGCTACTTTCAAGAGATAGTTCTTGGCATTATCTGCAAGGGAAAGGCATGGGAGGGGAGGAGGGAAGCTGCATTTTATAATACCAAATAATAACTGGAAACTTTAGGAAAGATTTGCATTTGTTGGTCTCTGACACCACCAGGAACAATAAGTGGGAAGAGACCTCATCAGGGACAACGACAGGATTTAAAAAGCAAAATTAAGGACCATACTGACACTCAGAAAATTTAAAATCATAACTTGAGGTGAAAAAGTTTGTTCCAGTTTGGATGTTTGTTACTCAGGGTAGAGGAGGTGTTGGGGCATGGTTTTGTAATTAGCAATCTGATCCTGTATGGAAGAGACTGCAGTAACCAGTGTAGCCACGTAGTGCATCTGTGTGTGAGTATGAGTGTAATTGCTAAAGGCTCCCATACCCACTCTCACAACAACAGCTTACTAACTGCAGTTAATTAGCTCTAGATTTTACTTTTTCTATTTACAAATCTAAAGTTAGATTCTCAGTAAGGTACATAAACAAGCTGCCTTTGTTATAGTGAGGTTCCATTTTTCTGACTGTACAGACCTTTTCTAGATGTGGTAACAAGAGTATTTTGCTTTATATGTTTATATGTATTGTTGACTTGCAGTGATGTGATCTGGAGCCTGAATTGATTCTACAAAATGAATTATATTTCGGTACACACTTACCTTTTGCTACCAGGAACCTGATGAGAATAATAAAAATCAGGATTTGTGATATTCTGTTTCTCAGAGATCTTTTTTTCAAAGTATATTCTAGCATTGAGTGAGTTTTTATTTAAAATTATTGCTAAAATTGTTTGTCTGCAAACTCATTTGCTGAAAATAATTTTCTTACTTAAAAATGATAAGAATTGATGTGTGTTTGCTAAGTGTCTGAATAAAGATCACAAAGAAACTCATATTTTGCATCAGAAATAAGCAGATGGTGGACAGATGGTTTAAATTAATATTAATTAAAAATCTTAACTTAAATTGTTTACCCTGTAAACGCAAAGTTAGGAAGCCAGCTTTCATCTTTAGGGTTAATAACACTCCAAATCTATTTATTAAAAATTGCTTCAATGAGCATTCTTTCCAAGCTTTGATCGCAAAGGTGGTAGCTTCAATAAAGGACATGATAGGGGGTGAAAGCTGGAAAAAGAGAGCAATTCTAGGACTCTTAAAGATCACACAGAGGTCAAGACTAAAAATTTCTGTCAGCCTTTTTAGTCTGGGAAGGAAGAAATTATCAGAAAAGAGGACTGGGAATTCAGGATCTCTTTTTCATGCCGATGTCTCAATATATTTATTCTTTAAAAATTATTTTACATCTATGGTTGGTTATGTTACAGTAAAACAAACGCTACAAGTACCTTAAAAACCTTGACACGCTGTTGACAAAAAAGAGGGTCCAATTCTGTCTTGATTTATCCCTTGCGTTTCTTTACTGATTTGCTGGAATTGCAGTGGATGTAATTGCGGTGGGGGGGGTGGGAATTATGGCAGCTGGTAACTGCAGAGGAAGTCCAGAGTGCACCCAGATTTACCATAGTGCACTGTGTATATACAAGTGAGAATATGGAATAACTGTGATAATTCAAATATCACTATATAGTAACCATGGATACTTGTTGACATTTTTAGTGGTAGTGACTACTTTATCTCAGGACATCTGTCACAGAGCCAGATTTGGTCCTCAGTTAAGCATGTAGTGTTCCCATTAAAATCAAAGGAGATTTGTCCCTTTAGTGAGACAGAATTAGACTGCAAGTGCTGGAAGCTTTGCTATTTTCCTGAGTTTATAGCTAGGATATTTCACAGAGGATGTGTACATTTTAATGGGTACCCTTTTTCCCTAATGCATCTCTCAGTTCAAGTTAAGAATAAAGAACTGTAAATTAATACTTAACATGGGAATAATCTATAAAGAGTTAAGATTTAACTGAGCTCTGGGAGCATTAGCATTTTGATTCATGATAGTTCACCAAAATGCTTTTCTTTGGTAGTTGACTTAAAGCTTAGGGAGAAATTGCAGGATTTTTCTTGCATGGGCAACTTGGAAAACTGTCAAACAATGTGATCCTATTCCTCTGTACAGGCAGCTGAAGGTGCGGCTGTGTCTCCACATTAAGTACCTCCAGAAGGGTAGGAAGTTGTTGGTGCACTCTGGCACAATGCATGATAATGCTGGGACAGTGTGTACCCCAAAATGGAACCCATGTTAGAAATGGTATCTTATTCCATTGTAACCTGTGACTTCAAAATCAAGTCTTGAGGTAGTCATTTTACAGATACTAAGTACATTCCTAACAAAAAGTTAGCAAAACTTCAGGAAAAAAAACACGTTAGAGGGGCTTTAAATGTTGGGTGTCTGCAGTGTGCAGTTAAAGCCATAAGCGACAGATTTTGAATGTCTGTGTTATCTGCTTGAAGAAAAGCTGCCTAGGTGGCACATTTTCCACTCCTGGCTCCATCATTCACTTTCCTCCATGGAGGTGAAATGTGTGTGTTTCTTCTGTTCTGCTGGTAAAAGCCTAAAATTTTCAAATGCAGCTATGACTCCACATTGTTTTTTCATTAATTATACCAGAGTAGTAAATGATTTATTTCCGAGTGCCACAATTGCAGAGATCACACCCTACTGTTGTCAAAACCAGTAGATCATCTGCATGAAAATAGCTTCATAGTGATTTTAGAAGAGCCATAAAAATGTACTCAAGTGGAGTCTGCATCCTGACAAAGAGAATCTAGATAAAACTTGTTAAATCTTCCTTCTTTTCTTTTTTTTTTTGTTTTTCATTGCAGATTTCTTCACGGATCCTTGCTTTGGGGATTTTCTGCTTATTTTCAGTTATTGCTTCTGAAAGTGTCACCAGATTATAAAAGCGCACATGTCTTTATTTTTTTCTTTTCTTCTATCCAGGTAGATATATTACTTTTATCATGGACCCATTTCAATATGTCTATGTCATCCGAAATAGCAAGCAACTTGAATTTCATGAATTTGCTGATAAAATGGCTTCCAAAACTTTTGACTACCCAGCCTTGTCGAAAGGAAAATTCCCCAATCTCAAGGAAAACCTGCATAGAATCTACCAATATCTACAAGGCAAGCCTTTGGATATAATTTCTGACCACATGATGAAAAATCTCCAGGATATATTTGAATGGAAATGCTCACAAGCAACAGATTGGGAAACAGAAAAAATGTACAAATTCTGCTGCTCTGTAATGTTTGAAGCCAGTTTTGTAACACTATATGGAAGAGTTCCTGCTGCAGATGGCCACAAAGTTATTAGTGAAATCAGAGACAAATTTATCAAGTTTGATGCCAGCTTTCCCTATTTAGCTGCAAACATACCAATTGAGTTGCTAGGAGCTACCAAAAAGGTTCGGAAGGAGCTTATACGTCATTTTTTACTTCAGAACATGACCAAATGGCTGGGAGGGTCAAAAGTAGTCCAAGCCAGACAAGATATATTTGAGAAATATGAGCTACTTGGAGATTATGACAAAGCAGGTAGGAAACTTATGAATGATTGCTTGTCTAAAATAAAATAATTTACTATAGACCTTTGAAATAAAAAGGCAAAATGGCGACCTTGAAATTTATTTATGTTCTTTCTAATTTGTTAATGATAAAATGTTTTACTCTGAAACAACCCTCTGTGATAATTGATTTTTTTTTTTTTGTGCTGAGGTGGTAAAACAAGATACTTAATGGTGATAATGAGAAAGATTATAACTGAGCTGCATT